TCTCCATCCTGTTCTCATGTCTCTGTTGATCCCCCCTCAGCTGTCTCAATCCTGTCCTCATGTCTCTGTCTTCATCCTGCTGTCCACCAGGACACATTGTGCCTCAGCAGGCATGGTTAGCAGGATGCATGGCTTGTTCCATGGAGTTTCATGGTGGTTAAAGGACAGCATATGTTCCGTCTGTCCTGTGTCTTCATGTGTCTCAGTCAGAAGTGAGGACCCCTGATGGAGACAGTGTTGGTCTGCTCATGTGTTTCTGCAGATGACTGCTGCTGCTGAGGTGGATTCAGTTACTCTTTATTATCACCCGCCATCAAAAGGCGAAGACGGGTGATAATGTTTTTATATTGTGTCTGTTAGCTGAATATCTCATAAAGCACTGGATGATTTTTAATAAAATCTGCAGAAATTAATAATTGAATGTGTATCTGTAAGTGATCACTTCTGTTAGTAAAATATAACATGAACCACAGGACATATTTAAATAAAGCTCTCAGACGTTAAAGACTGGTTGCATGTCTACAACTGATTAACTTTTGGAGTCTATTCAGTCTAAGATGGCAGACTCAGCTAATCAACCAAAACAACTCAACAATAGCTGTGACTCAGTCAGTTTTATAGATATGAAGCTAAAATTTTATGGTAGTAACTAAGAGTCATCCTCTCAGCTGAACCTGATGATATTTGTCCTGATGCATGCTCAATAATCCAGGTAGAAAAATCCAAAAAAGTTCAATCTGGTCCTCTGGACATAAAAAAAAATGATATTTGGTTTGTACATGCAGTTTTGATTTGAAGTTTATCTAATGAAAACAACAATTAGAAATATACTATGTTCTGGATTAAGATTCTTTATTTACAGGTGTGTGTTTTGTGTGTGTGTGTGTGTCCTGCAGGTGAAGGGCAGAGGATGCATATTGCAGCAATAAAATGTGTCAGTTTTTTATTTTTTTATCTAGATTGCCTAACTTCTGATCAGACACTCCAACCTGTTTGTTGTTGTTGTTGTTTTGTTGGTGAGGATTGTAACCAGTATGGAGGCATTTCTCAGAAACTGGTAACATCACCGTTTAATCCTTTCCTGGTAGTTGTTTGAAAATTAACTCGGCTCAGAGACTTCCTGTGCGGGCCGGTGCGTGGTGAGTCATTAAAGCTGTCAAAATGACACAATAATCGAAGTGGTTAAGATAAAGCTGCAGGACTGGACCAAGCAAAGGTTCTGAAACTTCATCGACACATTTTCAGGCAGGAATGTGACAAATGTGCAGCGACGGACACTCCCAACCAGAAGTTCAATCCCTCTCCTGTAACACTTTGACTTTTAAGTTGAAGTTTTTTGTTGTTTTGTTATATTTTGTATAATGTTTATCAGTAGAAATACACATTACAGCACAGTATTTACTTACTACAGGTACTTACCCAAAGATACCTGATACCTAGAGGAACCAGGTTGTATTGTTGGGGGCTATGTACTGGGCAGTAGTGGAATGTAACTAAGTACAAGTACATTACTGTACTTAAGTACATTTTTCACTTATCTGTACTTTACTTAAGTAGAGTTAAATGTGGGAATTTTCGACTTTTACTCCACTACATTTTACATTAAGTATCTGTACTTTCTACTACACTACATTTCTATAATGCGTTGCATTACAAGTTAAGACTCCAGTATACTCGGGCGTATTTAAGTCCGCGGAGGTCCACGCGTACCGGATTAGAGTCGACGTGGACGCCCACAGAGCATGTCCGTGCAAAGCTCAATTTTTATGACCGCGTACTCAGTGTCGTACAATAAACTGCCTGGTGACAGACTGCTTTGTATGCGACACCGATGTATTAAACTCCCCTTCTTCATCCCTGATCTGGTTTAATGGCCTTTTCTTTTGTTTTTTTGCCAAGAGGCAAGCGATCTCTTCCTCCTCCTTTGTTGATGCCATGACTGAAATTGTGAGAAATGAAGGAATTTGTCACGAGCAAATTAAAATCAGCGCGGCTGCTGGAGGGTCTAGAGATTTCCTGGTGGGCTGGTCTGATGTGTGGGCTGCAGGGCCAGTGCTCCCTGTTTTTTTTTTTTTTTTAAGAACTTTTCATTAACAACATATAAACACAGAACACTGCTGCGGCTTGTTGCCAGCTCTCGTTTTTTTTGCGACCTGTCAATCAATCCAGTAGGCATGTCAGCAAATGACCAATCCATCCATCCATCCATCCATCCATCCATTATCTTTACCCGCTTATTCCATTTTGGGTCACGGGGGTCGCTGGTGCCCATGTCCAGCAATCACTGTGCGAGGGGCGGGGTACACCCTGGACGGGTCGCAAGTCCATCACAGGGCCACATAGAGACAAACAACCATTCACTTTCTCACTCACACCTAGGGACAATTTAGAGTTACCAAGCAGCCTAGCATGCATGTTTTTTGGTCTGTGGGAGGAAACCGGAGTACCCGGAGAAAACCCACGCATGCACGGAGAGAACATGCAAACTCCACCCAGAAAGGCCCCGGACCGGGGTTTGAACCAGGGACCTGCTCGCTGAGAGGCAGCAGCTCTACCAGTTGCGTCACCGTGCTGCCCAAATGACCAATTGGCAAACTCAATTTGTCCCGAAGGTAAACGGCCCTTGCCTGTGGAGCTGGGCTGCAGCCAGTCAGGGTATACGCTCGAGTATGAAGTCTCAACCCTCTGCGGACAGTGTGCACATTTTTCGCACGGACTGAGATCCACCAGAGCCTGTGCGAGCCTTTACATTCATGTTACGTTTTTTTTTTTAAATTTGTTCTTTAGTTTGAAAGTAATCAAAGGTGAGAGGGGAGTTGGTCCATTGAATCACTGCAAAGTGGGCAGGTAACATTAGACCCACCTTGAAGAAGAGCTGGACCATTGCTGTATATTCTAGTATATACGCCAATGAGCTGGGTGCACCTGCAGCACCGCTAACACACACAAAAATAATTCCACCGCAGAGAGTCAGCCAGAAGATATGTGCCACCCATGGCCTTATTGAAAGTCTGCTCAGTACAGCAGGACAGATTCTCTCTCCCAAAAGAACCAGACTGGACTCAAAAATCTTTGAAAACCAACTTCTTCTGAACTTGAACAAGAAATTCTTGCTACAATATTAAAATATGTCAGTTCATGGGATGTTAGGAGACAAGAGATGTCTCCAAATGGCTCGACACTCGGGTCCAAGTTTTGAAAATGGTGTCAGGAAGTTAAAATATTGTTCACTATTGACCCAGTACAAGGTTGAATAGACAGTATTTTAACTAGAGTTGATGACAAACTGGAGTTGAAATGATCAGAGCCTGTTCCTTTGTTAGGTCTAATGTTCCTTTTTTCAGGCAGACAACTTTTACTTAAATGTTTTACTGCAGTTAAAATGACACATTGGTTTTGCTTTGTGTTAAATAAAAACTTTCAAAGGTATAACCATACCTCTTTCTTATTTTGATTAATGGCATTTAACTTTGCATGTCATCCCTGAAATTCTGACACACAAAATCACAAGTTAATTCAATTCAATTCAGTTTATTTATATAGCGCCAAATCACAACAAAGTTGTCTCAGGGCACTTTACAGAAACATTCACATAAAAAGGCCAATTAGTAAAGTTCTCTATCTAAGGAAGCAGCAGACTCATTTAATCTTCACTTTGTCACAATCTACTATCCTGAGCAAGCACAGTGGCAACAGTGGAAAGAAAAAACTCCCTTTGAACAGGAAGAAACCTCCAGCAGAACCAGGCTCAGGACAAGCGGCCATCTGCTTTGACCGGCTGGTTGAGAGGACAGGAAGGAGAGACAGACGAACACAGAATGGTAGGTCCAGGTATAGGTCCAGGTGTATCTGAAAGACAAAAAAAACACGTTAAGGAAAGAAAAAATAATTACAAATACAAAACAGGTTGAGCAGAGTAAGTAAAGACAGTAGCAGAGTGAAAATTGTGGTCAGTTTGTCCTCCAGCAGTCTAAGACTATAGCAGAATAACTAAGGGGCATCTCAGGAAACCCAAGCCGACCCTAACTGATCAGTTCAGTTCTGCAGAAAAGTTTTTTCCAACTGCGGCAGGTAGCTAAGCTCAAGCCAGTGTTATCCAGACCCAACCTTGAAACATTAGTCCATGCCTTCATCACAACCCGCCTGGACTATTGTAACTCACTTTATGCTGGGGTCAGTCAGGCGTCCATTTCACGTCTCCAGCTCGTCCAAAATGCAGCTGCTCGGCTTTTAACTGGTACATGTAGGTCTGAGCACATCACACCTGTTCTGTCCTCCCTTCACTGGCTTCCTGTGCGATCCAGAATCGACTTCAAGATTCTCCTCCTGACATATAAGTGCCTAAATGGCCTCGCACCCCTCTACCTCTCCGAGCTCCTGGAACCATATGTTCCGTCTCGGGCCCTGAGATCATCGGACCAGCTTCTTTTGGTCGTTCCAAAATCACGCCTGAAGCTCCGAGGGGATCGAGCTTTTTCAGTCAGAGGTCCCAACCTGTGGAACAACCTGCCCCTCAACATCAGGCAGGCCTCCTCCCTCCTGATGTTCAAATCCCTCCTTAAAACGCACCTGTTTGCTCTGGCGTTTAATACTGTGTGAGTTAGTTTATTTTGTTCTGTGTACCTCATTTTAAATTCTGTTGTTTTATGATTGACGTTTATTTTTACTGCTTGTTTTTCCTTAGTGTGATCATTAGTGTGTGTTATTGCTCCAGTAATTTTAAT